TTTCCTCTAGATTCTTCTTGTGCTCACAAGCATGATAAAGTAAGCATTAATTGGAAGGCGATAAGTGCAAGCGCTTCAGTGGTTAAATTTATGAGAGAAATTTATTCATCTGGAGGACATAACGGACCAGTTGTAGATTTCAAATGTGGTTCCTCTGAGACAAGGGGTTCTATGCCAGAAATGATCCACCTAGCCAATCGCTTTGCAGAGCCTCAGAGTCTCAAAGGTGTGGTAGTTTTGGCAATCCATACAGGAATGATTTATTGTGTTCTAGATGTGGTTACTGGTTTGACTGCTGATAGTCCATTTGATGGGAATTCTTGGAAACAATCATCAGATACTTGGACATTCTCAGAGTACTTCAATAACGCACACACCCCACCCCACCCACCAAGATGCCACCACCACCATCACCTGATATCGAGGAGTGCCTTGACAGAACGTCGGAGGTGCCCCTAAGAGCGGTTGATCAGCTGAGCCCAACAGCACATGCCCCTGCAGACCCTTCGAGCTTAAAGGCCACTGTCGAGGATGAGATCAAAAGCAGCTCCAGGAGCTTTCGGCTCCGGCCACCTTTTGCACCGAGATCTTCTACAGCATCCCGCCGATGGTCCAAGAGAACCACCATGGCTATCGGCTTTACGAGCCCCTCCTCGCTTTCGTCCTCCTGGGGGTGTTGTCGAGCGTGGTGGCCCATCTTCTGTGGCCGCAGAAAGAGCCACCGTGAGGCCGAGGCGGGTGGTAACGATAGGGATTCGAAGCTGCTCGAGGTCGTACTTATTTACTATCATAAAAGATGCAGTTTTATTCTTCTAGTAACTTTTTCACTGTAAGAAATAAAGACAAGTTAAATTCAATGTATTTATTTAAGGTTTGGGTTTTGGATAGAGGGGAGGAACCATCTTTGTGCTCCATATATATATATATATATATAATTAATTAATTAATTAAATTTTATTTTTATTTATCTAGAGTTTCAATTGAAATTTAAAATAATTTAAAATAATTTTGTTTAATTATTATCCAAGATATAAATCATCATATATTGACCATAGTCTTTGAGGATCTGAATTTGGTTTGAGAACTTTGTATGAAAATTAATTAATTATAATGAATGTAAAATCATTTTTAACCTATATATATAATTAAATTTTATTTTTATTTATCTGAAGTTTCAATTGAAATTTAAAAAAATATAAATTAATTTGTGTTTAATTATTATCCAAGATATAAATCACCATATATTGACCATAGCCTTTGAGGATCTAAATTTGGTTTGAGGACTTTGTATGAAAATTAATTAATTAATTATAATGAATGTAAAATCATTTTTAACCTATATATATATGTATTTATATATGTATATATATGTATATATATACATATATATATACATATACATATATATATATATACATATATATATATATATATATATACATATATATATATATTTAAGAGAAAATTAGGAGAGACAAAAAATAATATACTATTATAATATGATTTATAAAAAGATAGAACATCATAGTTTCAATTAGGAATTCAACTCTTCCTTTTGGGATTTTCTCTCATTCAAATATTAGCTAGCTAGCATATTAGTTGTACCTTAATTGGGTGGAGAATATTAGTCATATTTTTAGCATGACATACTGGAAAAATAAAACAAGTTGATGATCTTTGCCCATTGTGGCAAAAACAAAAACAAGAAGAAGCAAAAGAACAGGTTGTAAACATCTTCAGTTACATATAATAGATGCAATATTCTCTAGCAGTTCCCTTGCAACTAAGCATTTATGGATATGTATGTCTTAGCTACTCTTCATCGGCTTTGTTCATGTGGTTGGTTCAAATTTATTATTTATGTGGAAGTAATAATGTCCTGAACTGCAAATTGTCAAAAAAAAAAGCTTACTAGCATGAAATTACTTACATTTTTCATTGTGTTCTGTGATTCTCATGTGATGAGAAGATGATTATCACGGAATCCATGAGTGTGATATTGTTTTGGTTTATGAGTGGATTCAGATGGATCTAAGCATCCAAAGAAGTGGACACCAATGAGTTAAGTTGCCAGTAATTTCAATCACATCTCGATGCAACTGTTTCAACAATCTCTCTCTGCAAAAGCATGAACAACATATAAACACTTCGAAAGGCATGAAGAAGTTATTAGTAACTTAACAAAAGAAGAATGCATTGATAATATTCTATTTAATGAAGTATTGATTTGTTCTCCTATCATTAGTATTGTTTAGGAAACTGCTATTTGTCTTTTTGAGATCTCTTAATTTTATGAGTCTATAATGCAATTCATAGATTAAGTTTCTTATAAAGGTTTTTAGGTATCTAAGATTTTAAACAAACTTAATAACTATTTAGTATCAAATAAATATAAGATATTTTCATATTACGTTATAGTATTTTTTCGACATTGTTGAAAATATTATAACGTAGTATAAAAATATTATAAAGAATTGTTTACCTAATAGATCGGACCATATAAAAAAAAAAGAAAGGATGGGGAAAAAGACAGATGATTAGAGGTATTTAAGGTATTATGTAAAAAAAAAAGATTATTTGAAAATTCTAAAAATGAATGAGAGAAAAATAAAAAAGAAGAGTTCTTTATAGAATTTGTAATTGAAACTATGATGTTCTATTTTTTTTTATAAATTATATGCTATTAGTAGATTATTTTTTGTCTCTCCTAATTTTCTCTTAAATATGTATATATATATATATATATATATATATATATATATATATATTATAATAGAATATATATAGGTTTAAATTATTATTTTAATTCCAATTGAAACTCTAAATAAATAAAAATTTAATTTAATTTAATTTATAAAAAATAAAAAATTATATATTAGAAAGGTGACGGAAGAACCTATGATCCATCCTCTTTGGGCATCATGGTTCATTGAATTAAGGAAACGAGTGGAGTTTTGGATACTGCATATGGGTCCCACCATCAGACGAACAGTAATTACTGGAAAAAACTGCCAATAATTTTTTGCCACGTTGACTCATTCCATGCGCTCGCATAATATGCGTTCGCGAGCTCACAAGATCTCTCTCATCCTATGGCTATAATAGCATTTTTGACTGCTACGTGTCGCAGGTGATTCCTCCCGTTTGTGCACTGTACCTATCTTGCTTGGCCTTTGTTTAGTGGGTTCGCGGCTTTCGTGTGCTCGCATGGCATGCGATCGCAAGCTTCTCCAGATCGCAAAATTCTCCCATCTGACGGCTACGATAGCATCTCCTACCGCTAATCGTCGCATGTGGTTCCTTTCATCTACCCAAAACTCGAACTGTAAATGAGTACATTGAATCTAACTTGACCTTTATTTACTGCGGTGAAAAAGATACAAGAAAAACAAAGCTACATCCACAAAGGCAGGATACAGATTTAAGAAAGCGAATCACTCGTCCAACATGTGGGTCCCCCTTGTATAAAACCAGTTGGAGCAAGAGTTGAGGTTTTCTATGTGCTGAAGAAAACAGTAGATTAATTGACCCTTCTTTTGGAGGTCCTCCCCGCCGATTAATCGATCCCCTGTCGTGGCTATAATAGGAGACGGAAGGGAAAACGAGAGAAGGAGGAGGAGGCCGAGCAGGGAGCGCTCTTCCAGACTTTGTGTGTGTGTGTGAGAGAGAGAGAGAGAGAGAGAGAGAGAGAGAGAGAGTAAAAGCGCAATCCCTCGGCCCCCATTTCGTTTGGTTGCTGGAGAAGGACTCGGCGACATCGCGCGCCGCCCAAAACCTCTCTTCTTCTCTTTGCTTTCGCCTCGACGATAGCTTCTGCGGCGGTGACGTCTTCCATGAGTCCTTCGAAGAGACCCATCGACTCGGCCGACGGCGAAGGGTCGCCGGTTACGGCGAAGAAGCAGAAGCACGAGCCCGAAGAATTCGAGCCAAGGAGGTCTCTCTATCTTTCTTTTCTTGATAGAAAAGAACCTTTTTTCTCTTTCATGGGTTTTTTCACTCAAGAAGAGGTGATCGCGGGTTTCGTAATTGCGTTTTGGCGTGATGTATCGGTTGTTGGGGTCTCGAATTCTGTTTCTTGGACTCGCATTTCGTAACTTTTCGTTTGGTTGATGTTGGATTAGTCATCAACTCGCGGTATACGAAGTGGCACTTCGGACGAACACGATCGCCGTGCTGGAGACAGGTTCGGGGAAGACTATGATTTCCGTTATGCTAGTAAAGCATTTCGGGGAGGAGTTGAAGAAGCGCGGAGACCAGCGGCTCATTCTCTTTCTTGCCCCCACCGTTCACCTCGTCGTTCAGGTTGTATTCCGTGTCCCGCTTACAGAATGTTCTGACATCGTAGTGAATTAAAAGGATGAGAGCTCGTGTTTCTATTGAAGGATTGTCTTCTTTTTTTCTTTATTTTGACGTGCTTCTTTGGCAGCAATACGAAACAATAAAGGTTCACACCGATGTTGACGTACAATATTGCTGTGGAGCCAAGGCGGTGGATGCGTGGAGCATTGCCTCCTGGCAGAAGGAAGTCTCCACTTACCAAGTAAAATTTTCTACTTGTCTTTGTATGCATTACAAATTGGGATCACAGAGGTTCTTTTTGCTCTTTCGATCTTCCTCAAATATATTGTTTCTAGTATTCATTCTGGGATCAACCTATTAAGTGCTAAACGTGCTGTATCTTTAGGTCTGTGTATTTTACCGATCATCATTTAGTTTGCTATTTTATCTCACTTTTGATGATTTGCTTAAGATGTTAATATCTGTCCATATTTCGGAGAAATTTAGTAATAATTATCTTGATTAGTGGCGCTTCACTAGAACATTTGCAATTTGGCTAGGCCATGCTTTGGTTCTTGTTCTTTATCAATTTTCGCAAGTAATGTGAACTTCAACTGTGATTTGCAGGTAATGGTCATGACTCCACAAATTTTGTTAGATGTTCTGAGGAAAGGTTTCCTCAATCTTGATATGGTCCACCTGATGGTAATTGATGAGTGTCATCATGCATTGGGCGACCATCCCTACAATAAATTGATGAAGGTATTGCTAAATGAGAAAAATAAAAGAACTACTAAATTCTAGTTGCTTCCTTTGATCTTGTAATCACTTCCGGGTTTTGATGCAGGAGTTTTATCACAAGTCTGTGCTGAAACCACATATATTTGGAATGACTGCATCGCCTATCTTGAGGAAAGGTAAGTTTGTTTGCTAGGATATTTGTCCAATTTTGATAACCCCTGCTCTATGGCTTTTATGAAATTGAGTGCCAAGTAGAATTATAAAAAGTTGAGGCCTTTTACTTAGGATGCAATAGATGAGTACATGTACTAGTGAATAAGATTTGCTTGAAAAAAAAGAAGAAAAACTTTGAACTTGATAGCCTGATTTCCCGCATTGATTTTTTTTTGTACTTCATTATTTAGTAAATAACTTGATTATATTTTATGTGGTTTATTCTCTTAAGAATTTATTTAATTTATATTACTATTACCTTTGATTTTTATGCATACACAATTTATACAGCCATTCGTACATTGAATGAAAAATGGAAAACAATATGTTTAGTCTGCTGTTGGAGAATTACCCAGAATATGGAGCTTGTATTTCTAGAATGGAAAATTTGTATTCCTTTGGAAGTTGTATTACTATATAACTGTAATCCTAAGTTCCTAACTAGAATATAGTTGTATTCCTATATAGTTATATCCCTAATTAGTTGTACTCCTAATATTAATAGAATAGTTGTCTAGAATTTGCATGTGCAGTTGCATTCCTAATATATGATGATATCAGTAACATTATTCCTGATGTAATAGGATAGTTGTGTTTTATTTTTTTGGGATTTAGATCCTTTTTATGAATTTGTAAGCTCATTCATGATGAAGCAAGGAACAAAATTACGCATTTTGCATGGTATGTGCTGGATTTGCTTGAAAAGGTAGGCATCATGGGTTGCAAACCAGTTGAAGTAAACCATAAGCTTGGTGATAAATGTCAAACTAGCTGTAAACCAAGGCTTATATCAAAGGATGGTGCGAAAATTGTTTCATCTTTCACGCATAAGGCTAGACAGTGCATATGCAGTTAGTGTCATTACTCAGTTCATGCACTCACCTTTAAAATCTCACCTGGATGCAGTATACATAGGGTGTGTTTGGAAACACATTTGTATTTTTAATATGCATTTGGAAAAAGGGGTTTTAGTGAATGTGTAGTTGTGCAATGTTTTATGTGTTTGGTAAATAGTAGATGAAAATTATATTTTAAATGTGCATTGGCATAAGTGTTGTTTCATAAAATTATATTTCAAAAGTCTATTGAATTTATGTGATAAATTTACCTTTTTGATATTTTAAATATTGATTCAAAAGTGAATATGTATTTTTTATTTAAATTAATAACTAAATAAATAAATTAATGTATGTAGCCTTATAGAAGATTTCATATGATCTAAATATATAATAAATAAATAATATAAACATGTAAATGAATGTAAAATAATTTTTGAAAATAAATAAATAAAATTTCACCTTATAGAAGACATAAATCATGTTCGTTAAGGGAGAAAGCGAGGGAAGGGAAAAGGAAATAAGAGTTAGGGTTTCTATTGTACAATGACAATCTTATGATTTTAGAGAATGTCATAGGGTACTTTGGAAATTTTAAAATTTTCATTAGCATCCCGTAAATACTGAAATGCTAACGCTTACTAAGATAGCATCAGTATTTGAGTATTTGCAATAGAGCATCCAGACTAAATGTGATTTGAAAATAATTTATCAATTATCAACTCATATTTGAAATATACTTTGGGCCCTCAATGCATATTTCAAATGTGTTCCCAAATGTCCCAATAATCTTGAGGTATAAGATGCCTCAAGGCTGCACTACCTGATAAAGAGATTATGTTTCAAAACAATAAGAAAGAACTTCAAGTAGATGCCTATATAGACTTGGATTGGGCTGGATCCAATAAAGATAGAAGATTAACTATTGGTTACCATACTTTTGTAAGAGGCAATCAAGTCACTTGGAGGAGCAGGAAATAGTTGGGGGTGATCGGATCAAGTGCAGAAGCTAAACTTAGGACCATGGCATTTGGGATTTGTGAACTAAATTGGTTAAAGATGATACTTAAGAGACTTGAAGATCCTATGTTGTACTATGACAACAAAGCAACAATAAATATTTCCCATAACTTAGTTCACCATGATATCCACAAATTAGCTGGCTCATGCTTTGATGAAAGCTTAACTAAGTCCAATGTTCCATAAATTACTTGAGAGGCTTG